GAGGTCTTAGGTTCGATTCTCGCCAAAAGCGAATTTGAACCACATTATTGCTAAGTTTATTATGAGGTTAAGTGTCACATCCCGGTCCGGGCGGGACCACTTCTCGAGCCCGCTCCACCACTGTAGCACGATATTGTCAGCTTTGGGCCTCGACCACGCCCTCACGGTTTTGTTTCTGGGAACTAACACGAGAACTTCTCGATGGGTCACCCATCCTGGAAATGCTCTCGCGCACTACTTGCTTAACTTCAGAGTTCCTATGAAATCCGAAGCCAGTGAGCTCCCAAAAGGCAACACGAGAACTTCCCGATGGGTCACCCATCCTGAAAATGCTCTCGCGCGCTACTTGCTTAACTTCAGAGTTCCTATGAAATCCGAAGCCAGTGAGCTCCCAAAAGGCCTCGTGCTAGGTAGGGATGGGAATATACATATAAGGATCACTCCCCTGGGCGATGTGGGATGTCACAATTAAGCGAGAAGGGCGTGGTTGGGGCCTAAAGCGGACAATATCGTGCTACGGTGGTGGAGCGGGCTCGGGAAGTGGTCCCGCCCAGGTTGGGATGTGACAATTGGTATCAGAGCCTAACCCTGGCCGTGGTGTGCCGACGAGGACGTCAGACCCCTAGGGGGGTGGATTGTAAGATCCCACATCACCCAAGGGAGTGATCCTTATATGTATATTCTCATCCCTACCTAGCATGAGGCCAATTGTCACATCCCGCTTGGGGCGGATCACTTCTCGGGCCCGCTTCACCACCGTAGCATGATATTGTCCGCTTTAGGCTTACCATTCCCTCACGGTTTTGTTTTTGGAAACTCACGAGCAACTTCCCAGTGGGTCACCCATCATGGGATTGCTCTAGCCCCCTTCTCGCTTAACTTCGGAGTTCCTACGGAACCCGAAGCCAGTGAGTTCCCAAAAGGCCTCGTGCTAGGTAAGGATGAGAATATACATATAAGGATCACTCTCCTGGGCGATGTGGGATGTCACAATCCACCCCCTTAAAGGCCCGACGTACTCGTCGGCACACCACGGCCAGGGTTAGGCTCTGATACCAAATTGTCATATCTCGGTTCGGGACGGATCACTTCCCAGGGCCGCTCCACCACCGTAGCATGATATTGTCCGCTTTGGGCTTACCATTCCCTCACGGTTTTGTTTTTGGGAACTCACAAGCAACTTTCCAGTGGGTCACCCATCATGGGATTGCTCTAGCCCCCTTCTCACTTAACTTTGGAGTTCCTACAGAACTTAAAGCCAGTGAGCTCCCAAAAGGCCTCGTGCTAGGTAGGGATGAGAATATACATATAAGGATCACTCCCCTGGGCGATGTGGGATGTCACAATCCACCCCCTTAGGGGCCTGACGTCCTCGTCGGCACACCACGGCCAGTGTTAGGCTCTGATACCAAATTGTCACATCCCGGCCCGGATCACTTCCCGGCCCCGCTCCACCACCAGTAGCACGATATTGTTCGCTTTGAGCTTACCATTCCCTCACGGTTTTGTTTTTGGGAACTCACGAGCAACTTCCAAGTGGGTCACCCATCATGGGATTGCTCTAACCCTCTTCTCACTTAACTTCGGAGTTCCTACGGAACTCGAAGCCAGTGAGCTTCCAAAAGGCCTTGTGCTAGATAGAGATGAGAATATACATATAAGGATCACTCCCCTAGACGATATGGGATGTCACATTAAGCGTACCTCATTCCCTTAGTATAGATAATGAATTGATTAATTCAGCACTTGAATGCTGTTAAATCATTATAACAATCAATATCCATTCTAATTAGAGTAATATCATAATCCACTAGCCATAATATGCATGTTTGATATATCTGTATCCTTGTGAAGGTCTCATCTCTTTGTCAAGTGGAGTTCCAACCGTCATATCCGACATGACATAGAATAATTAAGTTGTAACTATAAAATCCGATTTCCAATTATTAATTAAGAAGTGGACTGGTTTTTTATTGTTTTTACTTTTTTTTTTGTCAAAAGAGGTGGACTGGTTAGAATACATCACAATTTAACTCAGCTGACTAAACCCTAATTAACGATGGTGTTTGAACGTCTGCTAGCCATGCAGATTATTGCGGACACGAAGAAAAATAAAACCAGCAATAGCGGTTATAACGTCACCGTAATGCTTTTGCATAATTCTGATTGTAAATAGTTTTATTCTTTAATTTGATTAGCTTGTCTCATCCTCTCCCACTACTTGATTTTATATAGACAGCTTTAATTGGAAAAAATCCTTGCTGAATTTTTTTCTTGGAATTCTAAGGATTCAGTGATTGTGATTGTTTATCATACATCGTGTGATCAGTTTTCATTAGATACTATATATATTTAATTTTAAATTTTAAATTTTTAAATGATTTTTAACTTCACAATGTACGATTAACGATCATGATCACAAAAAGTTCCTATTCCGCTTTAATCATGTATTGGATCAGGAATCGAACATGCCAAAGCATGAAGTAATCATTGAAAAATAGAAAATTAATAATTAAGAAATGTTGTTAGGTACTTATTGCAGTTTACACCCTTCAGTCCTTGACCTAACAATTTATAGGGTATTGTTACCCAAACATTTATTTTTATATTTCACAAATTCGTTCAATTTTTAGCTGTATCGAATGAATTGAAAAAGATAAATGATAAAAAATTTAATAAAAAAGTGTGAGTAGTAAAAATAAGTATGTGATTAACATTTTCCTAATCTATATATCTAACTTCCTTTTTTTTTTTTTTTTTTTTTTTGTATTTATCCCTGATGGTGTTGTGATATGCGTTGAAGATCCTGTAATTTCATTTTCTATTGCATTATTGTGGTACCGTTTTACTTAATTAGAAACCCTGCACCCTGCAGTGCTGCAGTGCCAGAAATCTTACATGTGACACCATATAGGGTTTCAAATGATGAAAAAAAAAGAAGAAAATAATAATATTTTCAAATGTAGTGAAATGACTACATCTTGCTAAGATTTTATTCGAAAAGAATTACAAGAGATGTATTTATAAATAACTAATCTTGAAACAAACAAGAAAGCAATCATAAACCCTGATAACACATAGAAAAGTAATCTTAATCCTTGTCTTAATGCAAAACCCTAATACAGAAAATACAAATATAAAACTAAATCAAATTGCTAACTTGTTTAACAATCAATTATATCGTTTACTTAATTATATCATAATGCATGCGTTTCTAACTCTACATTATCCTTTGATGTAATTAACAAGAATGATTACCACACACGAAGGGATATGCCATCTCAGAAACAAGATCCTGCAATGCATGGGATTGAAAGTGGTCAATGTCTGGATTAATTGAAAAATATGGCTTTTGGTTCACTAGCATGGACTCCCTTCGTTACCCTCTGGCCCGGGAGAGTCCCTATGGTAAGCGTACATGTGTCATTTGTCTTCCCATGTCACAAACCATGGAGTGGGACCAAAATGGCTGAAAATCGAAAGCGTGGAACTTTAGAAATAGAGGAGGTAATAATGACATCCAACCATGCAATTTATCACTAATTGGTTCATTAAATATCTAGCTCGGTTATTGTTTTGTGGCCAAATAGTTGAGCTAACTTTCAGCAACACAATTATTTGCTGATGGAAATCAAAAAGAGGGCAGTGGTTTTATCTGCGGGAGAATATAGTCCCTAGTATAACAAAATAATATATAACTTATATACGGGAGATTGTATCTTCAATATCCCCGAGATCCAAAATTTTTATGATAAAATCTCACACTTCGTAATAGGTGATAATGTTTGAAACATCTGGGACGTTAGCTGTCAGTTAGTAAACACTGAGATCCTTAGTCGTTAACTGCAGATCCAAAGATTCACTGTTCCAGACTTCCAGTGCATATCACAACGGAGATTAGTAGAATTTTGCAGATTCATAATCAAAAGATGGTTTTGTCTTCCGCAGCAAAGGAGAAAGAGGGCAAATATCATGGACTCTGGCTTTTCTGGCAAAGCTGTCATTTTCCGCACCACAAAAACAGAAGAGAGGTCGAAAAATCAGTGGACCGATAGAGCTAAACTGTCATGAATTGCAAAGGGAACGGATGAAGATAAGTTTAAAAGGCGAAAGCAGCGAAATAAGCTGAAAGCAGGCCAATTTGCTTTTACTCCATTTATGGTAAAAAAATAATTAGCTGTCACTGTCACTGTCCCATCCACAGCTCATCATGTTTCACCATGCATCAGCCAAAAAATCTCTCTTTCAGGAACTGGAGTCTCTTAAAAAAAAAAAAAAAAAAAAAAAAAAAAATTAAAGAGAGGACTCTTCCTTTTCTTGTAGTGTCCCTGTTGTTGTTCGTATTATTGTATTATTCATTTGGATAAATAAATGAAGAGGAGGACCTTTATTTAGTGGCTAGTTAGAGTTACATCACCAATCCCATTTTCTCTCTTCTGGACTTATTCTTGCACGGTGGTGTTTAATTTAAGGACCCAACTAAAGGATTCTTGCATACAGCTGGAGGTATATTCTGTTTTTCATACAACACTCCAATAAACAGGAGATTTTGTATTTAGTCGAAGATATATCATGTTGTATTAATTTTGTATTTAGTCGAAGATACATCATATCTTAATCCAACGCTTCGATTACAGTGTCTCGTGATGAATGTTGTAGAAACATACTGAATAATCCAGCACTTCCCATGTCACTCCAGTCACAGGGTCTCGTGGCGAGTGCAATTGAAGGAAATGGATGGATCATCCTGGTCCTATGACACTACAGTCATAGGGTCTCGTGACGAGTGTTAATGAAAGAGACGAGATATATTTTCGCAATTACAGGACAAATTCGGTCAATAATGGATCAAAACGTGTAAGGAACTAGTGGCATTTCACTATTAATAGACCTGAAACTCGATGAATTTGCAAATTAGGACAAGAATTCCAAGAAATGAGTACGGAATGAAAGTACTTTTGGGTGCAATTAGTTTGATGTTAAAATTGGATCAGAAAAAGGAAGAGAAAGACAGAGGCTTTATTCCATTTGCATCAAAGTCGCCAACCAAAGGGAAAGAAAATGTCTCATGGCACTTGCTTTCCATCCTAAAAACAGAGGAGAGTACTAAACTGTACAATTACACAAGACAGAGGACAAAGTAAAAAGTAGAAGAGAGATTATCAGAATTTAAGCCCTTCACATTTAAAAGCCAAAAGAGCCAAAAAAACTGAAAAGCAAAACAAGAAAAAAGAGAGAGAGATTAAGATGATTTACACAAAACTATTAATTAATTAACATCTAATTAGCAGTTAGAAACTGCTAATTATTATAGTCCCATAACAAACCCTCAAACCCAACTGAACTCGCCGCCCCCAACTCACCGCATTCGAACTCCTCAACGCGCTGCAGCCACGGCGGCGGATAAACCCATTGGTCCTCCGACTCCACAAACACGAACTCGCTTCTCAACTCGGTCGACTCGTAACTCAGACTCGGCAACTCGACGATCTCGCTCAGCTCCTCCGACTCGGTCGACAGGTTGTCTATAGCCGAGACGAGCGAGGACAGCGACGAGGAGGAGGAAGAGGAGAGTATGGACGGCGACATTGACCGGATGGAGTCGAACTGATGCATTTGGGCGGCTTTGGTGGCGGCGGCCTGGACGTCTCTGGGGGCGAGAGAAACCGGGCGAGGCAGCGAGTTGGAGAGCTCCGGGAAGTTGAGAATCGCCGAGTTGCCCTTGATGCTCAAGGCGGCGACGTCGTGGGCCCGGGCGGCCATTTCAGGAGTCGGGAAGGTGCCGAGCCAAATGCGCGATTTCTTGCGGGGCTCGCGGATTTCGGATACCCATTTGCCCCAGTTCCTCATTCGGACCCCACGATAAACCGGGTGCTTGCTGGAGTCTCTGACCCGTTTGGCATTGTTTTTGCTGGGTAAGTCGGTTTCTTGGTGAATTGGCGAGCTGGGTTTTTGTGGGTTTTGGTTTTGGAGTGAGGAAGGCGAGGAAGGAGGCGATGCGGAAGTGGATGAGTTGGAGGTGCTCTCAGTTTCTGAACTTTGGGGTTGATCAGCGCTCATTGCTAACGGTGCCTTGTACGCGTTTGTGGAATGCCTCAATGAAAAGACTCTGTATTTTGTGGTGAAAGAGAGTAGCACTGCTTTTCTTTAGCAGGGGAATGGAAATGGAAATCAGAGCATGCAAAGTTATGGAGGAGAGGTTTTAATTATTTCTCCTTTTTTTTGTATTTGATATCTTTTCCCAACGAGCCATCCAACACTTATAGAGAATGAAAGAGAGAGAGAGAGAGAGAGAAAGAAAGTGACAAACAAGAAATAAGGGGGGAGAGAGAGAGAGACTCCTTTAGGGAAATGGTACGCTGTGGTCGCCTTCCTCTAGCAGCACCTCGCAAGCCATTTATTCGTGGTTTTTCACCCATGTTTCCCTGTTCATTTATCCCTTTTTAACTTCCTCTTTGTCGACCTCCTTACCAAGTTAATCCTCATAGATTAGGGTTTTGTTTTGTTTTGTTTTTTTTTTTTAATACAAACAATATTCTTACTCTAAATTCAATGGCGTAGGCGTAGCCAGAAATTATTTGAATGTAATAATTTGAAGCAAAAACAGAATGATACACATAAAGTTATTACATTGAAGTTTTTATGTATAATAGTAAAAACTTGAATAGTAAAAACTTGAATGTAATAATTTGACGCAAGAATTTTATGTTATGTTTTCTAGGTTTCTAGCTTTCAAAGCTTTCAAGTGAATAAAATAAGAAACTATTTGTTATATGGAAGTTTTAATTTATTATTATTAAATATAATATTAGTTAAAGTGATGAGTTTATTTAACATCTATTAGCTCTAATTATTCTTAAAAAAGGCTTACTAATAAAAAAATTTCATTTCTTATGTGAAATATGACAATTAAAAATCATAAACTAACCTAAAAATTAATATTTTTAAGCTTGAAGAACCAAACTCTCCCTATGCTATAGCCTAGGAGAGCCTTGTACTTGGCTCCTCCCTTGTCTAAACTATCTTAAGGGGAGGAGGAATGGTATAATTTAACAGAAAATCCGTAACCACATGGGCAATTAATACCACTTGTGTAGTTGGTTGATAGATTACAGTTACGAAACTCTAAAACTAGTATGCGCTACTAATTTCAATAGTCTAGCAACATAACATATCGTATTTGGAAAAATTTCTCTGAATGTATTTGTATAAAAAGTCAAATTCTTGGATTTATTTTCTTGATCAAATTGAAATTTTAATTAGTATTTAGCTGGGGATTGTTGGAGAGCTTGCATTATCTTCTTCCTCCTTTTCGACCTCTTTACCTGGTAATCCATGTAGTTATAGATATAAGATTACGTTCTCTAATCAGATGTCAAAAAATGTGAGTAAACTCTAGCATCAGGATGCACTACTAATCTCAACAATCTAACAACGTAATATGTTATGTCTTCGAAACAAATTTCTGAATGTGTGTACATAAAGCGACATTCTTGTGATTTCTTTTGTTGATCAAATTGTCATTTTAATTAGTGTTTGGTAGAGAGGAAAATTAGTCAGCTAAAGGAGAGAAAAAAACAGAGGAAAAAGAAGAGGAGATAAGGATGGTTTTGATGAATTAGTACGTGTGGTATAATCAAGAGGGGTTTGTGTGAGGTGGCAATCAGTAAGGGTTTACAGCGTCGTCGTCGTATGATCCATGACTTCATGCTGTTGCATCCATGTACAAATATTTAATTATCATCTTGCATCACATTGTAAGACAAGTAAGCAATACATACATATATATATATATATATATGTACACAAAAAATAAAAAATACAAGACAAAAATCACAATTGCAGTGACTTTACTGTGGAGTGAGAAGATTGTAAAAATTATGGTGAGTATCAATAACTTTGTCAATTACATCACTTGATTCGAGTGATCTTGAAGCTCTAATTTGATTTGTTTGTACTATATTTGATCAATCCCAAAATTATCAAGTACCAGTCAACGTCATATCTTTAAAAATCCACTGAGGAGTTCATACTGAGGCACTCCTGCCGAAGCACAAGAGTTTCCCTTCAACCAGGAGGCCAATCACAACACGACACATGCCAATGTCAGAATAAAGCTCATAGAGTCCCACATCGATTGCGAACAAAAGCTGGAGACTCTCCTCAACTATAAAAGAAGATCATTCTCCTACAATGAATCGCAAATGTCATTATTGTACTTAATCTAGTCATTAGAACTCACTAATGATGATTATGCTTGAACCTATGTACGTATTTGTATAAACCCTTCACTATTAATGAGAACTCCTCTACTTCGTGGACGTAGCCAAACTTAGGGTGAACCACATACATCTTGTGTTTGCTTCCCTATCTCTATCTCTTTACATATTTATCCTCACTAGTGACCGAAGCAACCGACCGAAGGTTACAAACTTGACACTTTACATTGTTCCAAAGTCTTCACTGATTTTGTGCATCAACATGATTAGAATAATAGAGAGTTGATTGACTAATTACATAAGTCCTACATATTTGGTGAGACTTATTATGGTGGGTATAAAATATATAATGTGATTATGAGTATCTCTCATTTAACAATAGGCTTGATTGAGAGATATCCTAGCAACTATATAAGGATTGTCCCTACTCTCACAATAAACGTCTATTACGTACTAAACCTATTTGGAGATGGTAAAAGACATTTTTATGCATAGCCAATTCATTGTTAGAAGCAAGAGCCATGTCTTTCTCTTTACAGATAAGTTAATTGTAATCCGTTTGTTGAATTATTGGTTTATTGAATCTATGATCCTAATGGCACGTTGGTGTGATTTTAGAATATAGCTTACAAAGATATGTACTGCCTGTTAAAATCAATAAAATATCAATTATACAATATATGATAATTGCACAATTTATTTCGAATTACAATTTCACTATATACACAATATAACAAAATATGAACAATTAATAAAATTGCATATAAAATCACAACAATAATCACTGACTTGTTTATGGAAGATAGAGGCTTGCAGTAGCAATCTCCTAAGACATAAATTCACCCTTACACCAATGCAGTAGTTCAACGGATGCCTATCTTGTAGGATACAACTATCTAACCCAAGTTCTTGTACTCGAACTTGGATTCTTGGCGAATTTACTATGGTTTCTCTGTGAAGGATTAAAGAGAGAGCGATGGATTTTTTCTACTTCGCTTCTGATCTTATAGCCATATATATAATGGCATTTTTTTGAACATTTATGGCTGTTCATTCTTATCCTTTCGAAAAAATGTAACTATTTTGAAACAGTCTTATCCTTTTGGAAAAAAAAAATTGACTCCTAAAATCAAAACGAAAAAAAAAAAAAAAAAAAAAATCATACTTCTGTTTTTCATCCATCAAAGACCCATCTTTGACATTTAACATATACACCCAACCAAACCTTTCAAGTCCAAGGCCCAAAGTCTATGGGTTTGGCCCAATTCCTTTCAAACAAATAATGAGTGAACTCACTTATAAAGGGGAATTAGAAAGGGTGAATGAACGATGCGGGACAATTGTCCCTCACAAGTTCCAACACTACCAGTCTACCACTTTAACATTTATAACATAAGGAGAATGACTTTTATAACACAAGTTACATAATTATTGGCATTTCGTGCTAATAATAATATATGTCATGTTGAGAGAAATTTATACATAATATATTATGGACGAAAAATATTTGATGACATACTTGTAGCATATAAGTTGTTATCCTGAATATGGGATCTAGAGCCTCCTCTCGGTTTAGTTAATCAATTGAGTATGAATCATTAGTTCAAAACAATTTTAGTTAAATAAATGTGAGTGCAAGGTTCCTTCCATTTTGTACGTTCCTTTTGTACTTTGTGATTTCATCATACAAGTGGGTCGTCTATGATAACTTCTAGGACATTTTTTGAATATCGTTCACATATACAATCAACAAAACGATTTTTTTTTCAGTCATATAATTATTTTAAGATAAATAAATTAACTCAGCATTTTGATTCAATACTGAATTATTGTGACATCCTACACCGTTTTGGGGAGTGATCCTTATATGTATATTCCCATCCCTACCTAGCACGAGACCTTTTGGGAGCTCATTGGCTTCGGGTTCCATGGGAACTTCGAAGTTAAGCGAGTAGCGCGTGAGAGCATTCCTAGGATGAGTGACCCATCGGGAAGTTCTTATGTGAGTTCCCAAAAACAAAATCGTGAAGGCGTGGTCGGGGCCTAAAACGGACAATATCGTGCTACGGTGGTGGAGCGGGCCCGGGAAGTGATCCGCCCCGGGCCGGGATGTGACAATTTGGTATCAGAGCCTAACCCTGGTCGGCAAATTGTCACATCCCTGCCCGGGAAGGATCATTTCCCCAGCCCGCTCCACCACCGTAGCACGATATTGTCCGCTTTGGGCCCTAACCACGTCCTCACTGTTTTGTTTTTGGGAACTCACATAAGAACTTCCCGATAGGTTACCCATCCTGGGAATGCTCTCGCGCGCTACTCGCTTAACTTCGGAGTTCCCATGGAACCCAAAGCCAGTGAGCTCCCAAAAGGCCTCATGCTAAGTAGGGATATGAATATACATATAAGGATCACTTCCCTGGGCGATGTGGGATGTCACAAAATTGCCACATCCCCGCCCGGGGGGGGACCACTTCTCTGGCCCGCTTCACCTTCGTAGCACGATATTGTCTGCTTTGGGCTCCGACCACACCCTCACGGTTTTGTTTCTGGGAACTCACACGAGAACTTCCCAATGGGTCACTCATCCTGGGAATGCTCTCGCACGTTACTCGCTTACCTTCGGAGTTCCCATGGAACCCGAAGCCAGTGAACTCCCAAAAAGCCTCGTGCTAAGTAGGGATGGGAATATACATATAAGGATCACTCCCCTGGACGATGTGGGATGTCACAAAATTGTCACATCTCCGCCCGGGGGGACTACTTCTCGGGCTCGCTTCACCATCGTAGCACGATATTGTCCGCTTTGGGCTCCGATCACGCCCTTACGGTTTTGTTTCTGGGAACTCACACGAGAACTTCCCGATGGGTCACCCATCCTGGGAATGCTCTCGCGCGTTACTTGCTTAACTTCAGAGTTCCCATGGAACCCGAAGCCAGTGAGCTCCCAAAAGGCCTCGTGCTAGGTAGGGATGAGAATATACATATAAGGATCACTCCCATGGGCGATGTGGGATGTCACAAAATTGTCACATCCCTGCCCGGGGGGTACCACTTCTCGGGCCCGCTTCACCATCGTAGCATGATATTGTCCACTTTGGGCTCCGACCACGCCCTTACGGTTTTGTTTTTGGG